ATGTGAAATATACCGTAAACAAGTAAAATAAAATGAAGTGAAATTCCTGAAGAATCTGGGTGACCGTTGGAAAATATGAAGCTATAGATAATCTAAACAAGGGCTCACCAAATATGTAGTGGAAAAGATACTACAAATACGACTAATAATGAAATAAACGGTACAAGGAACGGTCTCAAAGAAGGATTTTCTGTCTGGTTGATTGATCCTGTTCTTGTGATGTGTGGCTCCGGTCGATGAGATGTAGTGGAACTGGAATGGATGACTTCGACAGTTAACGGACTGCTTGACGATAACTGATAATGCTTGCTTAATTCCTCAGCAACACTTGGAGAACACGTGCGGAGTTACGAACAGAATTTTGTATTGTGTCGTAGGTGTTGTTTATATTAAGACAGGCTATAAAATCATGTCATATAAAAGTGGATAGAATAGTAAGACACCACTAAGTCCAAACTGATGGGTCTTTGTCGTTCCCTCCGTCTAATAGGTTGGTTGACTTGCTGCACCAGCACATCTGATGTTTATAATACCATGTGAACCCTGAGCGCAATGCCAACGGGGTAAAATTTTCCCCTTCCAACTAAACGGTGTTGCCGATCAAGCCAAATCTCTCTTAACCGAGGGGTGCCCGGTTCTGAGGCTGACTCTTAGCCCTGCATCTCTCCTTCCACTGAATGACGAATGGTGATCAATTATGAATGACTACTTGACTGTTGTTGCAATATGGGTCCCATGAACACTCCTTCAATAACCGCCAACTGATCCAGCCTGAAAAACCAGATCTCTACCCCACCGTATGTGAGACTTGAACCCTAGGTAGTAACTATTTGAGATTTGATTGGATTACACGTACCCTGTTTATGACACCGTGAATATAGTCAGTGCGTTCGCCAAGCACTCAGCGTCGTACTGTCGTTCGCGTTATGGGACCAGTAAGGATGTTTACCAGTATCCATTATTATATGCACAGGACTGCATGCATGGGTATGGATGTGTGCATGTTTGTGTATGATTGAACGTATTCGTGGCTGTGGGTTCAAGCACGTCGGGTGGTATGAAAGATGTGACACGCAATTACGGGCCGGGGTAACCAAGAGTAGGTTAAGGTTTATAAATGACTTGGTCCAAAGCAAGCGGTTCCTGCCTTCATCATCGTCGACGAC